TTTTTCAAAGTGGGGGAGCCCCACTTATAAGTAGGCGTGTAACTGGGGTCTTCGGTGATACCCCCCCTCCACCCACCATATAGAAAACAATACGACATAGGGCTTATTTTATTATTAATATAGGCCACACACGTGTGTTTGAAGCAAAATATAAGCATTTTCATCGTGGTTAGTATTTATTACAATCATAGGCCTATTCTTTCAACATCATTACACATTGAGGCCCTTCTTTTAGGTAAATCGATCTACCTTAAATTTTCTTTCTCAAGTTTGGGACTATGTGTTATAACTTAGAAGGCAAAGGAGAGCAAGCACAAGCTTTAACATTAAAAAATGCGCGCGAAGCGCGCGAAAATTTTTTGTTTTTTTAATTCTAATTTCGTCGGAATTGATCAAAACTCCCTAAAATGTGCAATTTTTAGAGGAAATTGGCCTACCTTAACAAGCTCTTATGTTATATATGGCCACACTCGTTTTTTTAAACAGAATATAAGCATTCTCCTTATAGCTTCATTTATTACAAACATATTCTTTCAACATCATTACACATTGAGGCCCTTCTTTTAGGTAAAATGATCTTAAATTTTCTTTCTTTGAGCTTGGGACTATGTGTTATAACTTAGAAGGCAAAGGAGAGCAAACACAAGCTTTAACAATAAAAAATGCGCGCGAAACGCGCAAAAAAATTTTCATTGTAATAATATATATTATTCATTATAATAATTCATTATAATATTTTCAAGAGGGGAACACCTTGAATTTTGAAGAACTTAAAAGTAATTAAGTTCTTCAAAATCAAGGTTTTCCACTCTTGAAAACGGTCAGATAATTTTTCCCATTGTTATTACAGTAAATAGGCCTTTTGTGTGTATACATACATAAAAAAAGATTGAGTAAGTTGCATACGTAATTTTTCCATGAATCGATAAATCCCAAAAAGAAAGGGTGGGGGGAGGTCCTGTGGTTCTTCCCCGGGAAAATTTTGATTCCTAGGTGGCGGGAAATGGGCTTTCCCGACTTCTGTGGTGTCTTTTAATGACTTTTAAATTCTTCAAAATTCAATGTTCCCCCCCACCCAACCTTGAAAATGATTTAATTAATCAATGAACTCCAAAGATAAAGGGGGTCCAAAGATAAAGGGGGTAAATTTTGATTTCTAGGTGGCGGGAGATGAGTTTTCCTGACTTCTGAAATGTCTTTTAATGACTTTTAAAGCTCTTCAAAATTCAAGGTTTTCCCCTCTTGAAATAGGTCAGGTAAATTTTTCTCATTTTTTATTTTATGTGTGTATACATACATAAATAAATGAGTAGTTGCATGCGTATTCTTTTTTCCATGAATCGATAAATCCCAAAAAGAAAGGGTGGTCTGGGGGTTCTCCCCCGTGAAAATTTTGATTCCTAGATGGTGAGAATTGAGCTTTCCCGACATATGAAGTGTGTATTAATTAATTTTAAAGTCTTCAAAATTCGAATTTTCTAATAGCCAAAAAAAAAAAAAAAAAGCTCACAGGTCCTGAAAAGGTAGGTCTAGAATTATTTTCTTTTTGCCCTTTTTTTGTTGCCCAAGGAAGGGGTCAGGATCAATGTCCCCCAGATCCGCCAATATGAATTGCGAGAAAATGTAATTCGGTCGGGTACTGGATAAACATTCTCTTTCCCATCCTTCTTCTCTCCTTTTTTTGCATTTCCGATCATACAAAAATCTCCAGACATTATATATTTTTGGCCAAAAAGTGGGGGGGCCTGGGCCACCCCGGCCCCCCCCCCCCGGCCCCCCCCCCCCCGCTTCCGCCGGCCATGCCTACAGTATTGTTATGTGTACTGTTACGGATTTTACTGTACCTACAGTATTGTTATGTGTACTGTTACGGATTTTTGTTTCCAGATCAAGGTTAAAATAACTAGTGGCCTTTACCATGGTTAATGTAAACAGGTATGAATACCAGTCACTTTATCACTGAGACAGAATATGAATCACTAAGGGGTAAACGTTACATGGGATCAGCTGATGGGCTAGGGATACACTACCGTATCCCTACTTCCATTTGCTACAGTAAATGCGTGGCAAATGGCATTAATTCACCATCACCCAGGCCAATGAAGTGCAGGAATGTGCGTAACATCATCTTTCAAGACTGGCAGTGGCATTGGGATTAAATCAAATCATCAAATCAAAATCAAATAATACTTAGTACTATCATGTTATTGATCAATTGACGTATGGTTCCACTCAACTAAGCAGTGGTGGATCCAGGAATTTGAAATAGAGGACCCAGAGAGGGACTTTCACAGATGGAGGGTCTATAATACCTGAACCCCACCATCGTTGGGGCAGAGGCAGTGGCGGCTCTAGGATATAATTTATAAGGGGGGGGGGGCTAAGATGTCCGACTGGGGGGATGGCACTCTTAAATATAGAAAAATTTAGGGAGCATGGGCTGGCTGAGCCCCCCTCTTTGAATCCGCCACTGGTAAAAGTCATGTCCTTTATCTATAGCCATATCAAACAAAAACTGAATCCTGGCTCAAACATTTGGCGTAGGCCCAGGCCTTGCTTAGCTTCTTCAATTAGTGGCGGCCCTGATAGATCATACTGTACTGCTGGTTGCATACTCTACATACCATATCAAATCTGAAGTTCTCAACTCCCAAAATCTCATCTCAAGTTTTAATCAAAGAAGCCTACTGTACAGTAGGTCATAATTACTATACTTGAAATTACCACAAATTACAATCAAACCCAAATCCATACAGCAGGCCTACTGTACAGTACCTCTGAATAAACATGAAACCATAGAGTTACGTAACTTTAATAAGCATCCGTCACTGTTAGGTACTTCTCCCAATTTTGCCTAGTTATCCTAATACAGAGATTCCAAGTTTTGATAAATTTGTAGGCGTGGGGCTATTGAAAACCGAGTTAGTTTGGTCAGAGTTTATGACTGATATTTACAAAACCAATTCTATTTTAAGTTCTGTATATGAAGAATGTTTAGTAAAGAGCGACAATATTTAGAAATAGCATACATATTCTTAAATATAGGCAATATGTGAGATTTTGGTCCTTTTTTAAGCCTGAGACCATGAGACAGACACCGAATGTGTAAGCCTCACGCCGAATGCGCAAGACTTAGTCTGTAACCTGCAATCTGGGCGATCTGCAAACTGCAATGTTAGTCTTGAATGATAACGTCATGCACATTCCGGCACTTCATTGGGTGAGGGTGGTGATATACCTGTAATGTCATTTGCCATACCTTTTACTTTTTAGTAAATGGAAGCAGAGATACAGATTCATAGCTAGCCACAGCAAAATATTTTAATAAAGTGTTTAAAATATTCAAAAAAAAATATGAAGGCCTAGGCCTACACGAAGTACTGTAGGAGGCTTAGGCCTAGGCCCTAGAAAACGTATTTGTGAATCTCTTCTATCTATCTTCATGTGAATCAGCAGCCTTTAGCGAAGTTAGTTAGGAGAGTATAGCATTAGTGAATACATACATTAGTAGGCCCTACCTACAACAAAGCCAATAGACAACCAGTCTTTGGGCGCTAATGCACTTTCCTACCTAACTTTTAATTCTTAATTTTTTTACCTCAATGTTCTTCTCACAGTCACAACATATCATTAACAAACATGTTCACATGATGATTCAACCACTCACAAAGTACCTTTTCAACAAATAAGGCCGCAAATAAGCACAGCGAATCTGCGCTTGCTAACACCACGAGTGGCTGCCATTTTGCAATCAGTAAGAAATTGCGAGAATTTCTGAGTTTACAGAGCAATGTTTTTTGATCAAACGTTTATGAAAACTTACTTATTTTCATTCGTATGCCATATCATGCGTTTTATTGAGGTGGTGTTGTTTGATTATGATGTGTGCTCACATGAAAATCACATGAACAATAATTAATTTTAAAAAATTAGTAATATCCAAATGCGTACACAGATATACAAATAGGGCCTAATCCAGCAAAACAACTATCAAAGCCAATGCTAAACAGGGGTGGGGCCAGGATTTGCCCGACGGGGGTTCAGAGGCAGATTTCCCCGACGACAGCAAAGTGGGCTTGTTTGAGCGTTGCTTAAAATGGTCCAGGGGAAAAGCCAACAAAAATTTGACAATTTATGGGTTTCAAAGGCTTATTTAATCGATTTTAGTGTCTACTAATATGTAGAAAAAAGCAAATAATTTTTTTTTTCTCCCTGACGAATTATGGTTTTTCTACCCGACTGGGGAAGGCCCTGCCCCTCCGCGGGCGCCACCCCTGAACACTAAACGTTGGTTTGATTAACCTTGATTAATACGACAAGAGAATTCAAAAAGACGGTACTACGTAATAATGCCACATTTTGTTGAATATGTTTCATGGGAAAAATCAGATTCAAATTATAAGACTGGATTATAAGTATAATTGTTTCAAATTTTAAGAATTGGCCTGGACATTCTGGCAATTTCTTACTTGATTGCAAAGCAGCAAAATACATGTACAGCTCGTCGTGCTAGCAAGCGTGGAAACACTTTATCAAATAAAGGTATTTATAATATAAAGGTAGGGCTAGGCCTTAGGCCTAGCCTATATTTTTTGTTGAAAAATGTACTTTGTAAGTAGGCCTAGTTGAATCATGTAAAAATATTTTATAATTATGTGTTGTGACTGTGAGAAGAACACTGAGATAAAAAAAAATTAAGAATTAACAGTTAGGTGCGAAAGTTCATTAGCGCCGTCTTCGCCTAGGCCTAGGCCTAGACCCTAGCAAAGCTGGCCCTAGCTCTCTGCTGCTGTTCTGTGTGGTGTGGTAATCTCGCACATCATTCATAAATAGGGCATAGCATAAAGCTAGGCCTAGGAGGCTAAGTAAATAAAGTAAGGCCTAGCCTAGCCAAACAATCACCTTAAATCTCTTGCTCTAATTTTTAATTTTGAAAGTGGATAGGCCAAGGCTTATATTCAGTATTTATAAGTCATAAAAAATTCGGTTATATTACTCACCTTTTCGAAATAAAATAATACTTTATAACCCAAATCCGCTAAAATTGTATCACCAACTCTGAAGCCTGCTGTAACAATATTTACATTGGTATTATTCGAGTCACCCGATGATCCCAATCGCAACGATACCCTACTGCAGAGACCAGCAGCGAGGCTTGACTCCGCAAGGCTTTGCAAGGCAGCCAGGCTTTGCAAAATAGTCATGAAAAAAATTTTCTGAATGTAAGTTCGCGTCATTCTACGTCATGTCATGACAATTTGCGTCAAATATTGGTAATTCGCGTAAACTTTATGGTGATTCACTTCAAGATACAAGATAACAAGATTCTGTCTCCATATTGTACTAATAAAAATAATAAATACTATATACCAATAGGTGGCCTATACTGCAACTACGAAATAGTGATATCATCATTCGAATGTTAATGATGGTGGTGATAATGATTGTAATAATAATAATAATAATAATAATAATAATAATAATAATAATAATAATAATAATAATAATAATATTATTATTATT